AAAAAAAAAAAAAAAAAAAAAAAGCCCCTCCATAACGCTCGGTTTTACTGTTCTGAGTTAATCCAAACAGTGGTAATAATTGTGTGTACTCCTCAATCTTCATGGTGGTCAAAAGGAAACTCTCGGACTTTTTTTACTGGAATTTTTAGGCTGGCCCAGAGAGGACAGTAACTGCTGTTGTTTAAACAATCCTTGATGCTGTGTTGCTCTTAATACCAAGGACCTGATTTCGGAGAGGGGGTGGGGGAAAAAAAAAAAAAAGCAAAGAGGAAAGAAAAAAAAAAAAAAAAAAGGAAAAAAAATGTGCATTTGAGACTAGTAGTGATGATGCATCTAGGTGGGAGCGCCGCACAAAAAACAAGCTAGCAAAGCTCTTTCTTACCAATCCGGATCACGTCATGGGTTTTGGTCACTCACAACTTGGTTCCACTTGGAGCAAACAAAACCAGAAACAAATTTAATGAGCTGGAAGGGAATCCTAGGATACTGTGCTAAAGGCATATTTTACGTTTTGCTGTATTAACGGATGATAAAAACTAATGGCAGAAAAAGAGAAGCGAACAATTTCTATGTAATGTACAGATACTAGCATTGCACATATAGTCTGCTTTCTGTTCCTCCAGAACTTGCGTCCCTGTTAATGTAGTGGAAAAAAAAAAAAAAAAAAGAATTTTTTTCTGTTGTGCTGGTCTTGTAAGTTTGTCTACCAGTAGGAGCAAGGTTTTTCATAACTCCTCTTTTTTAAAAAAAAATAATAATAATCTTGTTTTGCCTCTTCCACTGCCTCTCCCCTTCATCCCCTTCCCATTCTGGCAAAAAAAAAATAAATCTCAATGGGCAAAAATAGAACGAACGGCACTTTCTAAGAACCATTTTTAGTGATGCCATCACCGTTTCTTTCCACTCGATAGGGTCTTTTTTTTATTTTTCTCACTGTTTCACTTCCTTCAGCCAGCACATTGCTGGCAGACCCTTGGGCAGACAAGAGCAGGGCAACCTTCCCCGTTGGCCATGCCCAGCCCATGGTGAGGATCATCCTGGGAAGCAGCTTCTCCTGGGAAGCAGCTTCGGTGAGCAGCCCCTCGGCCAGCCCCTAGGGTGGCATCCGGGAGGCTGAGAAGGTGGGGTAGGGTGGTTTTTTGGGTTTTTTTTATGGTCGTAGTGGGGCTTTTACAGGCCCCATTTCCCTGGAGGAGCAAAGGGCCTTCACGGCTCCAGCTGGTCCCTGGTTTAGGCACTTGTACTGCAGTGGGTAAGAAGAAAATCGATTGACGCGTAGTGAGCTATAAAGTACTTTGCAGTGATTTAAAACAACACAAACAAACAAAATATCTTCTGTTCATTCTTTTTCCTAACAGGAAATTTATTTATTTGACAGGATTTTTAAGTAACATAGGCTTTCTGGAGGTAAACTAGCAGCACGGAGTATGAATTCTTTTTTTTTTTTTCTTTTTTTTTCTTTTTTTTTTCTTTTTTTTTTTTTTAATTTATGATCCATTTTGTACGGTCTCAACAGTTGAATGACCTCATTACTAATATTTGTTGTAAAAGTGAAGCTTGTTTGCCAAACAATAAACAACTGATCACGATTTAGAAGACCCTGTATGTATGTGCTGTACGATCAATCTCTCCTTTTTTTTTTTTTTTTTT